TTTAACTGTTGATTGTTACGTAAAAGGTATTGCAATACACCCATTGTTCAAAAGTATCAATCGGTTCCACCGACAGACGTATACCCTCAGCAAATGTTCGATTATTTAAGTATGTTTAGACTTTTGTTATCATTATTCAAATTGTTTACCCTCTATGAAGTGGGTTCAGAAGGAATGGGCCAATATTGTCCATTTCGTATCGGACCTAAATAAATACGATCTAAATATTGCGACGTGCCAGGTTTGGACTATATTGGTAAATTTCTTCTACTTACATGACATATGTGGTAATTTTTGGAAAATTTTAACATTTGCGTGAGGTACCAGATATAGTCGACCGAAGTTTTCAAATTTCATGCTTAATATAATACAGATAATAATATTATTATGGGCAAAATTACAAGAAAATATAACATAATTTCATACAAAAATCCCATATTCATCTCAGGTTTCTGGTTAAGGGAGATATATTAAGATATAGGAAGTTGTAAAGAATCGCTGACTTGTTTTGCAAGTTATGACAGATAAAATAATTGAAAATTATGACCCTTTCTGGGTGAGGTACCAGAAGGGGTTTGCAGATATATATCGTTTTTACAACATATCTTGTATTAGCAAAAATGTTTGTATGTGTGAAGTTTGAAAGAGTTTGACGCTTACTTCGTTTCTTTAAGCGTTTTGTTTTTCAATCCCAATATGGGTCAGGTAGCAAAAGAAATGTTTCGATCTCTACCATCTTTGTAACAGATTTTGTGTTGATGGAAATATTGAGATGTACCATGTCTGGAATTCAATCGGATGTTGATTTTGCTTTTTGTGAACTTCATGGATATTCAAAATTTTGAGCGTTTGTGGGGGATGTACCAGAGGGAGTTGACCGATATATTCTGTCTTTCTATCACATTTTGGGTTCGTAAAAATAGTAGGAATGTGTGAAATTTGAAGACAAATGTGGGAGAGGCACTTGATGGAATGGACCAGTATTAGGATTGACGCAAACAATATATTCCATCTTAACACCTTACCTTGGGTTAATATAAATATTGGGATGTGTGAAATTTGAAGACAATCGCGCTCTTACATCACAATTTATGAGAGTTGTAATTATTCAAAATTTTGACCATTTGTGGGGGAGGTACTTGATGGAGTGGACCGATATTGTCCATTTTCACACCTGACCTAGAACTGTCGCAAATATTAGGATGTGCAAAGCTGGAGCAAAATCGGATTATTCTTTCACTTTCTGTGCAAAAAATATATTTTTTGAAAATTTCGACCTTTTGTGGAGGAGGTACCAGAAGGAGTGAACCGACATTGCCCATCTCCGAACTCGATCTAAGTTTGACAAAAATATTACTATATACCAAGTTTGGACCAAATCGGATACTCCTTTCGAGAGTTATCGTGGGCACCAGTTAGCCAGACAGACGGACGGACGTACATCGTTAAATCGACTCCAAATGTTCTGAAACGGATTTAAAGAGACCTAGGGTCTAAAACCGTTATTTCGACTAGGCACGTTTTGACCGTATCAAATGATACATACCCTCTGTAGCCATATGGTTGAGGGTATGGCGAGATAGACCCATAGATACTTTTGAGGATCTTCATAGAGTCACTTTCTGAGTCGAATTATGCATGTCAGTCCGTCCGTCCATGTATTCTTGTGAACAAAATGCAGGTCACTTTTTTAGCCGATTAAGATAAAATTTTGCAAACAATATTTGTTTGGCCAAAGAACGCTATTGAAATTGTTGATAATCGCATCAGATTTAGATATAGCTCCCATATATCTTCAACCGATTCCGGGTTAATTGTGCACCAAATGGCTAATATCAGCCCAATTTGGCAGTAGCGACTGAATTCATCCTATAAATCAGTACTTCAAATTTGGTGTAAATCGGTTTAGATATAGCTATAGCTCCCATATACAGGGTGAGATGAAAAAACTGCAACCAACTTCAGAATGCTGTCATTTCTAAACCACTTGTCCGACAGCTGTTACAATTATATCAGTGACAGCTCTATATATTGTTCACAAGCGTACAAAAGCATTTTGATGAGAATTTTCCAGAAAAAAGTTATTCGTGATGGAAATTAAGCGTGATAGTGTGATTTCTTTATATTTGGCTGGAAAACCACATGTGGTTATCGTTAGAGCACTCCAGCATTTCAATGTGAACAAATCTTTTGTGTCTCGTACCATCGCTCGTTACCGTGATACTGGTAACCTAGCTCGAAAAATGTCTCGTGAGCTGAACATATCGCAATTTTACCTTCGGCAAAAATTGAGCTGGGGTAAAGCCATTGAAATTCCAAAAAGTGCAAGAACTTACACCGAAACAAAAAGAAAATATACTCAAAAGAGCTAAAGAGAAAACATTCGTAGTCCAGCAGTTTGTAAACAAACAAAATTATCGTGTTTACTTGCCAAAGTGGTCAGCTGGAAATGTGCACCTTGGATTGACCACCAACTTAAGCGCCGGTCATAGTGATAGTGCGGGCCGCCTTAACAGCCGATGGTCGCTCTCCGCTTGTATTAATTGACCGTGGCATCAGAATAAATGCCGAATATTATCGCAAAAATATTCTGGATTGTGCATTAAAGCCTTGGGCACGCAAACATTTTGGCCGCAGATCTTGGACATTCCAGCAGGACTAAAAAATATCAAAGTGTCGATCACCTCAAGCAAGCGATTTGCCGGGAATGAGCCAAAATACGTGTGACGGTTTCATTGGCCGTTTGAAGCCAATAATTCGTGCCAAAGGTGACCAATTCGAACAAATTTAAACTTATTCTGAAATTTTATGCTATTTACGACATTTTTTGCTTTCATTCAATAAAATTTAAAAAAATATGGATTTTGACATTGTTGCAGTTTTTTTTATCTCACTCTGTATATGTTTTATCCGATTTGGGGTTTAAAGTCCCTAACAAGCGTAATACGCATTCCAGAACAATGATCTTTGGTGCGAGATATCAGATATAGTTCTGAAATATGTGTATTTAATTTTGTCAAGATCGGTTCAGATTTGGATATAGCTCCCATATATATCTTCAACCGATTTCGGGTTAATTGTGCACTAAATAGCCACTATCAGTCCAAATGATACTCTAGCTTCCGAACGAAATGAAGTAAGTTGGTAAAAATTTACTCAAATGTCTGCAGGACTTTTGGTATTGAAAATGCCGATCCACGTCTTCGTATAGCCCCCATATAACTGTACCTCCCTATATTCGGTATTTGGATGATTTTAGCGACATTATTTACCGGAATTGTTTCAAATTTCCTATTTGGAATTCGCAATGGATACGACAGCCTATGTCAGAAAATTGTCTGTGCAGATCCACGTAATGTACCTCCCTATATTCGGTATTTTTTTTTTATTTTAGCTACATTATAAACAGATTTTATTCAAGTTAAGCATTTGAATATTGAAATAGCTTATGACAAAAGTTACCTATGCAGGTCCACTTCGTCGTATAGACCCTAATATATGGCTACATTCAGTATTTTTAAGATTTTAACAGAATTTTTAATGGATTTTAGTTTTTTGAAAATTGCCAAATTTTTACGAAATGGTGGAGGGTATTTTTTTATTTTAGCTACATTATAAACAGATTTTTTTTTAAGTTAAGCATTTGAATATTAAAATAGCTTATGACAAAAGTGCAGGTCCATGTTCTGGTATGTACCGATATTCAGTATTTTGATAATCGTAGTAACTATTACCCACATGATTGTTTCAAATTTTGTATTTTAAAAGAATTGATAGATGATAATCCTAGAAGTATACAATTGTCTATAGAGGTTCCCGTTTTGATATGGGCCCCTATGAGGGCCTCACTCATTTTATGTGTTTTTTTATATTTTAACTGCATTATCCAAACGGTCTTACTGTTATATGACGTTTAAAGTGAAACACGCTTGAATTCAGTCATTTTTATAAAAAAAGGGTTATTTTACCATAAGGTGGAGGGTATTAAAAGTTCGGCCCGGCCGAACTTAATGTTTTTTTACTTGTTTTAATATAATCCTTCTCCAAGTGATATCATGCACTCTATAGAAAACTATAACTGCTCTAAAGCCAAATGTTGATAGGTGATATGATCTACTTGAAATAAACTATTTTGTTACGGAGCTCTACTAAATTTACATAGTGGTGTAGGGTATCATCTAGTCGGTCCCGCCCGACTTTTGACTTTTCCTTACTGGTTTAGTTTGCAGTAGCCATGGTAGAAATACAAGGTATATGTCAAAGAATTTGTTGTAATTAAAGAGAAAAAAATAAACATTTGTAATAATGAAATATGAGGTGCTGTGCCGTTTTCAAAATGAAGGAAGAACAAGTAAAAAAGCGGTAAGTTCAGCCGGGCTGAATTTTGAACACTCGACACCACTTACAACGAATTTGGCAATTTAAAAAAAAAAAAAAAAAAAATTCGTTAAAAATTCTGTTAAAATCTTAAAAATACCGAATGTGGCCGTTATATTAGGGTTTATTCGACGACGTGGACCTGCAAAGGCAACTTTTGTCATGGGCCATTACAATATTCAAATGCGAAACTAAAAAAACTTCGGTGAATAATGTAGCTAAAATCAAAATACCGAATATAGGGAGGTACCATTATATGGGGGCTATACCAAAACGTGTACTTAAATGGCCCATTTTCATCAAAGTCCTGCAGATATAATATACATTTGAGTAAAATTTTATCAACCTATTTTATTTCGTTCGGAAGCTAGACTGATTTCCACAGATGAAAAGTAGGACAGACGGACTACAATTTTTTGTTGCTTTTATAACAACGAGAAAAACAATAGTTGATAAAAACTGTAAAACTGTTCTAAAATAGCAATGTTGTTATTTGTGTTATTAAGGGGAAAACTCAGTGAATTATATCGGAAATATCGAATGAGTCGTTCATTGATATGCTGCCAAGTCTAATTCATACATTTATGTTTTCTTACAATTTTAATCAAATCAACGATACATACCTCGATATCATTGTCGTTCACCTCTTTAAAAGCTATACCTGTTTTGGACCCATTAGAAGTTTCCTTCCATTTACTTTCTAGAATTAATTTAAGCTTTGGGCTTTTTGGTAGGCGACGTTCGTATAAACATGACGTGGATTTCTCCTTAGGGGTTTGATGGTGTTTGCGACGTAGAACTACGCCTTCAGTGCTGGAATCTGAGGGATTGTCCTCCGGGTCGTCTGGCTCATGGCCCACGAGACCTAGATCGATTTGTATAGAATGTCCCGGGGGAGGCATTGAACGCACAAAATTGTTTCCACGACCATGGCGACGAGCCTGCTGTGCACAATCGAAACGTCGTAATAATTCGAACTTATCTTCAACCGTGAGGTTATTGATACGCAATGCATTGGCATCTAAGCTGCGAATCACTTCTGCAATTTCCGGACGTAAATTACGGCCAAATGCAAACTGAATGTGTTTTGCGGTTGTAGGCAGTGGTGTCATTACATCTTCGAATTCAGCTGCAACCTTTGCCTCGTACTCCATTTCCTCTGGTGTCTTGGCAACATTAGAATTGCATTTGTCATAGTTTGTTGGCATTGCATTGGTTTTGTTATCCGCCACAAAAGATCTACGACTTCCATTCGTTGGAGACGCATCTATGGCAAAAGAAACGGGTGAAGGTGTGGCTTCCATGTATAACAGTTGCCCCTTCTCCGCCTCGTCTACGTTTCTACCGAGCAAACGTAGTTGTTTCTGCTGATAAACCCCATCGTTAGCGTGCAACGCATCTCGACGGTTATAGTCGTTCTTCGCCTCGTTCATAGTACTTTGACTACTTCTCTGTGAAAGACGTAACTGGAGATGCTTCTCGTAGTCTCCATCCATTATACTTTGTGTCGATAGATTCAATGTGTGGGCGACCTCGCTGTTATCACCGACACCATCACGACGGTCCCAGCCCGAATGCTTATCATTTGTTTTCAAACTTAAACATCCACTTAGAGTACTTTTTTTCGCTGTTTCTATGTTGGCCACTGTTGGCTCGGTATTCGTTGTCTTTTTGCGTGTATATACATCATCGTCCTCTTGCTGCAGACTTCCTTCTTCGGATGACTTATGTCGCGCCTGTTTACGAAAAACGTTGGTTATTTTCGTAAAACAATTGCGCATTCTTATAGAGATGATTGGTATAAAGCAATAGGTCACCAAAGGTAGCTAGGTTTACCAGTCTTCGGGGCAGATTATGGGGGGGAAATCAGGCATCAGCTTATAAAAAAATGGAATTCCCTTGCTCGGTAGTTTCTCGTTCTTCACCTTTTTTCGCGCAAAAACTTTCTTAGTCGCTCACTTATTTGCAGTTATGTTTGTATTTGTTCTTAGGTTCGAGATACGACGACCTGTTCAAGCACATGTTTGTAACAATATAATCGATAAGATAAAAATGGTTTGTTTTCTTTTTTAAACGTTTATGATTTCGCATAGGAAGCACACACAAACACACTCATAAAAAAGTTACCCTTTAACGTATTGCCAATAAGAGCAATAATTGTTATTGTTTAAAGCTTTGTTTATATTTTCTCTTAACTTTGCTCAGACCAATAATAGTGTACTAAAAATCTTCAAGCTGAAATATAACAATTTACTTTTCGGAACTTTTTAAAAAACTTGAACACCTTGACTATGTAGGCATGTAAAGGTATTTCTGGTCTGTATTTGAAATTTTTGTTTGATTGTTATTGTTATGGAGAGAATATTACGGCGTTAGTAACTATTAGATAAGATGACATATATGTGAACATGTGAGCTTTGCTAACCTGAACCGATTTTACAAATTTTATATACTTCTTCGTAAGATGAGTTCGGTCTTTTATTTTTTTAGACAGATATTATGCATTTGTTGCACAATAAACTTGAAATAATAAAGTTTATCCTTTGTCCATCGGATAATAAACGCAGATACAAGGTACAATGAAGGCTTTGTAGGGTTAGCAATCTCCAGAATACAACTTCTTCTTTTGGTACTAATGACAGTTTTTGTATGTGTATGTGTTATTTAGAACAATAAAGAAAGGAATTTAAAATAATTTCAAATTCTGTTGAAACTTAGATCCATATTACAGGTTTTGGGAAGAACAAATGTTTCCGTTTTTTTTTTAAGGATGAAAAATAAATGTAATTATATTAAGAATGCTGTGAAAAATCCACGGCATTTCATTCGAAAAAAAAACAATATATTTTAATATGCCAAACCATGGTTCATTTATCTGGATTAAGCTAATACTCCACTATAATGCATATAATAGCCGTAAAAGCCATATAGGCTTGTTGTAGTTACAGAAAATGCAATTATTGATAAAATCTGCTGACAAATATTTCTCATCACATTCACATCAAGGAAGTTAAGTAGATTAAACTGTTCCAACATAAAACACCCTTTGAACGTCAGAGTAAATTGAAATACATTATGCAGAATTGATGTCCCACTTAGTGGTGAAAATGCTGTGCCAAAAGGTTGGTGAAAATGTCATTCTTGGGATCCAAAATTAATTGTTCACCTTGCATCCAATGATTGAACATTTTACCATAACATTACTCAATGTCCCTCTTGGTCTTCAATTTAGTACTCGTTTCTCTTCCGTTAGATGTGAATATCCCCCCATCGTTTGGTGGAGATTATAACAATATTTTAATTAAACACTTTAAAAACATATCTTCAATTCCAATACTCTAAATGTTGCTTATATTTCGTTAGAAATATTTGTTTAATTCAGATATTTGAAATGTTCGGGATGTCATTATCGAAATAATCAAAAATATCAAATAAACCAAAAATTCTAATTTTCAGCAATGATAAAGAGTTTGCAAACCCATGCCTGTTGTTTTTATAACAAACATCACATACCTAATATTGCAAATTGTTTGTGATTTTAACATACAAATGAGAATTGTCAAGCTATGAATTTTACGAAAACCAATTTTTTAATTGGTTTTTTGTGTGTGCGATTTTTTTTCTGAGAAATTTCCTCATATGAAGATATTTTTGAAAAATCTAATTTTCACACGGTTCAACACGTTCAAAAAAGTATTTGTGTTATGTAGAGATCTCAAAGACATGTGAGACTATTATATAAAACCCAGAATCAGTTGAATTAAATATATTTTGACTTTCATTACGATTATTGAAACTGTCGACTCTTTAAAAGGGGATGATCCTTTTTATCTTACATAATATACATAAATATAACAACCTGTCAGATTTGGACTATATCGGTTACTTCCATTCCTTTATATGAGATATGTGATATTTTTAATGTACCATTTTCACCCTTCTTCTAATTCTAATAAAATATTGGGTGTGCAAAATTAAAAAAAATTGAAAACTTATTTTCAATTTAATGAGAATACAGGGAGAGATGAAAAATACTGCAACCAACTTTAGACTGCTGTCATTTCTAAGCCACTCGTCCGACAGCTGTTAAAATTATTTCAATGACAGCTCATTATATTGTTTGCAAGAGTACAAAAGCATTTTGGTGAGAATTTTCCAGAAAAAAAATGTTATTCGTGATGTAATTCAAGCGTGATAGTGTGATTTCTTTATATTGGTTGGCAAACCACAAGTGGCTATCGTTTGAGCACTCCAGCATGTATCTCGAACCATCGCTCGTTACCGTGATACTGATAGCTTAGCCCGACGTCAAGGAAGTGGACGAAAGAAAATAGCAACATCAGCAGAAATGGTTCGAAAAATAAAGAAGCGACTTGATCGAAACCCGCGTCGCAGTGACCGAAAAACGGCTCGTGAGCTGAACATATCGCAATATTCCATTCGGCAAATTTATTATTTGGATTTCTCCGATGAGAAAACATTCGTTGTCCGGCAGTTTGTAAACAAGCAAAATGATCGTGTTTACTTGCCAAAAAGGTCAGTTGGCCCCAGAACTCACCATGGTGATAATGTGGGCCGCCGTATAAATCGACCGTGGCATCAGAATAAATGCCGAATATTATCGCGAAAATATTCTGGAGGGTGTATTAAAGCCTTGGGCACGCAAACATTTTAGCCGCAAACCTTGGACATTCCAACAGGACTCAGCACGAGCCACCCAAGAATGGTTACAAAATGAGGTTCTTCGCTTCACAATGGCTACCAAAATCTCCGGATACCAATTTGTTGGACTATTGTGTCTGGAGTATTTTAGAAAGCAAAGTTGGCAATAAAAATACCAAAGTGTCGATCACCGCAAGCAAGCGCTTCGCCGGGAATGGACCAAAGTTCCTCAGAGCAACATTCGGGCAACGTGTGACGGTTTCATTGGCCGTTTGAAGGCCATAATTCGTGCCAAAGGTGACCAATTCGAAAAAATCTAAACTAATTCCAAAATTTGATGCTTTCTTGCTTTCATTCAATAAAATTTAAAAAAAAAAAAATAAAAATTATGGTGTTTGACTTTATTGCCGTTTTTTATCTCACCCTGTAATTGGCAATAAAAAATTAAAACCATTTGTGGGGAGGTAGCAGAAGGATTGAACTGATAGTGATACAAATATTGAATATGCTAAGTTTAAAGAAAATCGCTGATTTGTTTCGCACGTTGTAAGGGTCACAATTATTCAAAATGTTGGCCGCTTGTGGGGAGGTACCGGAAGAAGTGGGCCGATATCTATCATCTTGTGTTGGTAGAAATATGGGATGTGTTAAGCTCGGTGAGAATTTTTGCTTTAATAAGGGTTTGGGTCATGCAAAATTTTGACCCGTTGTGGGGGAGTACCAGAAGGAGTGTGTCGATATAAGGCTATAGTAGTGCGGGATCGACCATGTGATACCCTACAACAATACTATATGTTAGAAGCCCCCTATGTCCAAATCCCTTTTGGAAGATTTCGCTTTTGAAATTTTTTCATGAAGCACTGCCCAGATATTGCCCTTAGCATTTTGACCAGGGACATTTGCCCGCACTTCGTCGTGCTGTTAGTTGTTGTGGTCCATTTTACAGCTAAATATAATCCAATGGTCATGCAAAATGATAGAAATCTTCCCTGTCGTTAACTCTCTTCTCAGGCGTGCCTGTTTTTGGGTCATTTAAACCCCTAAATATTTTGCAATCACCTCCAAAAGCAAGAGGCCCCTCTGTATCTCTAAATTTAGATCATCTATATGATTTGCTTGTCTATGATATTTGCCTATATTCGTCAACGAAAACAGCATAAAAAATTCAGAAATTCGCCTTTTGTGTATTTCGGATATCATCTGTAAGTAATGTTGGTGTTTTTACGCACAAAAGTAGTGGTCCATTCTACCCGCTGTCCTAAACTTTAACTTCATGCGAGATTTCGTGTCCTTTGTTTTCTATTTGTGGCCTTTATAATGGCTGCAAAATCAGGAACAGTTTTAATTGTTGGTCCATTTGAACCCTTAAATATATTGCGAACATCTAGCCCTTCTGGGCCTAACCCTATCCTTTTGAAAATTTTCTGAGGATCGGACGATAATTGCAATCTGTATATAATAACCCCAAGCTGTATTGTAAAGTGAACAAATATTACAAAATTACACTTCAATATTAAAAGTGAAATTGAAAAAAGTCATGCATGCGATAAAAAATATGAAAAAATAAAAATATGTCACAAAATATTACAAAATCTATATGTTAATGTTGGCATATTTTTGCGCAATTTCTTTAGATTTTGTTCTTTTGTGCCAAGAGGGCATTCTGAATTGACAAAAATTGTCAAAATAGGTCCAGCCATTATAAAGTTATAAGCATTCTAGCTAACATCGCCTTCCTTTGTGTATATGCATTGTATGTATTTCGCTATATATATATATATATATATATATATATATATATATATATATATATATATATATATATATATATATATATATATATATTATATATTTATTTATTTAACACAAATGCTATGGTCTATTTCACCCACTAAATATTACCCGATGACCATCAAAATTGGAAGACTTCTGCCCAACCCTAAGTTCTAGCCCCATGCTAACTTTCGCGTCGATTGGTCTATAATTGCGTACTGTAGATGAAATTTTTCATCGCGATCATCTCCAAAAGCGATAGGGTTCTATTCTGGCTCTAGCCCCACCTCCATCCTAAATTTCGTAAAGATCGGGCCATAATTGCGACCTGCACACTGATTACAAATTAACATGGACGGACGGACGGACGGACGGACGGACAGACGGACATAGCTAGATCGACTCAGCTCGGGATGGAAAGATCCATATACACTTTCCTCTGTGGGAAACAAATATTTCGAGGTGTTACATAATTTTTGGCCCACAGAAGACAAACCCCATTACAAACTCTACATACCGAATTTAAAACGATTCTACTGAAAATGTAGTTAAAATCATCAGAATACCAAATATCGGGAGACACAGTTATATGGGGATTATACGAAAGCGTGGAAGTGGACTAACTTGACCCACAATCTCTTTTATCAGTTTTTATAAACAATTTTTTTTGATAATTTCATTTTCCTTTACGGGACCACACGTATTAAAATGTTTCACCTTAAATATTCGATCACTATGTTCTCCTTAAACAAACAAATGTATAAAAAAGCGTTAAGTTCGGCCGTCTGGTCAATTTAACTATTTTTCTTTGACATCACATTAATTTTTGACGTTTATGTAAGATTTAGGATTATGATGTATTCGTAAACTATTATGACACCTGCTAGGATTCAGTCTAGAGAGGATTTTTAACTCGTTGTAGACTCCATAATGTGTATATATATTCATAATCAGAATAAAATTCTAAGTTGATTTAACGATGTCCGTCTGTCTGCCTGTCTGTCCGCCTGTCTGTCTACCCGTCTGTATTTTGAAATCATGATACCGTCCCCATTATTTGACGTAGAGCTTGAAAATGCGATATACCGGTCCACATTGTGGTATAGCCGCCATATAACAGTACCTCCCGATATTCGGTATTTTGATGTTTTTCGCCAAATTTTTCACGGATTTATCAAAAATTGGTATATGTAGTTCGTAATGGGTTCTAGCTCCGATGGCGAAACATTGTATGTATAGATCCAGGTTTTTGTATAGCCTCCATATAACAGTACCCCCCGATATTCGGTATTTTGATGATTTTTGCCCCATTTTCCACGGATTTGTCTAAAAATTGGTCCTGGTACTTCATAATGGGTTCTAGCTTCAACGGCTGGATGTTGCATATTTAGGTCAACGTTTCCCTATACTGCACATATATCGATGCCCACCGATATATGGTATTTTGATAATCATAGTCCCATTTACCCACTTAATTGTTTCAAATTTGGTATTTAAAAAGATTTTGTAGATGACAATCCTTGAATTATAAAATTGTCTATAGAGGTTCCCGTTTTGGCCCCCATACAATGGCCGCAGCCACTTTGTGTTTTTTTTTTTTTTTTTGAAAAGTTTAACAGCATTATCCAAACGGCCTTACTGGTATATGAAGTTTAAACGGGAACACGTTTGAATTCAGATACATTTGTATAAAAATGTTTTCTTTACCCAAAGGTGGAGGGTATTAAAAGTACCCGGCCCGGTCGAACTTAATTTTTTTACTTGTTTAACAATCAAATTATAATTTTCAACATATTTAGGCAAATATATGCACTTATTATTTTATTCCCACCACCATCACACCTTACCCTAAATTTATGTGTATACCTTGCATGTTATGTGTAAACATGCAAAGTTTTTCATTTTCCAAAGAAAATTATTTTCATGGAAATTGAAGATGCGTCGGAAAAGAGACTTTTTTCTCACTGCCTAACTTTTTCCAACGGCCAGATAAAATAAATAAATGATTGTTTTTATGAAAAGGTCGATTCAAAGATAATTATAACAAAACATTCAGCTTTTTGTGTAAGTGTGTGTGTATTCATTGTAAAAGATAAGAACAAAATTGAAGGTGGAATGAGACTTCCATTGTCGAGAAAAGTGTTTAACCAACTGTTCCCCGTCACATCGGCACAAATGGTTTACTGTTTGTTTGTTCTATGCATTCTGGCTTACATACATAAGTACATGTGGACGGACAATACTGTATTGAAGTATGTAAAGCTCTGTATGTATCTTTCATAAGTGTGTATGCGTGCTAACATATGCATAAACAAAAACAACCGATGTCTACATACGTATTGGCACAAACATGGATACTTTGATTATATAATCCGATGTTATTTGCATTTATTGATCTTTTATATTGTTTTTGTTTTTAATCACTTTATATATGTAATTTTCTTCATGTTCTCTTTTTGCTTGAGCAGCAGGCTCTGACATATTATTTGTGCGAATTACTCCTTTATTTGACTTTTTATTGGGCGATAATAATTTTAGGCTGATCGTACATAAATATAAATGAACTCTTAGTCATTTCGACTAGTTAGCACTCCGAATTTTCGGCGTCACTCAATAAACTGACAGTGATCGATATTTGTGTGGGATTTGTATGTAGGTCGATCGATGAAATTTTCGTGTGGCTTTTTTATTTGATACAATACTAAACGGTTGAACAGAAAAGAGCGAACGTTTTCGACCGAAACCGCTTAGGAACTGGCGAAGTGGTATAATTCAATTGAACTCTTTGGCGTTCTTCAATGAGTTCTCAATAAAATTATTTAATTGTATTGCTGATTAGTGCCCAGGAGATGGGGTTGCAGAGAGGTAAAAAAGCATTGAGACAAAGTATAGGCAACGAGCAGAACAATGACAAGAGTATGTGGTTAAGATTTTTGATAAAACTACAGATACTAAAAATATCAATATTTTAAGAGGACGATCTTTGGCCATAATAATTTAAATTTATTTTCATAAAATTGGTTAAATTATCATCGAATGAGACATAACGCCTAGCACATTCTCCTTCTCTGATACGCCGTTTGCTTATTGTTGCTTCTTTCTCTCTGCGTCTCGGATTGGTTAGTCGATAAGGAGAGATAACAGTGGTAATGTGGGGTACACCTGCACAATCACATTTTCACATACATATTTCCTATTTACACAAAGAGTGTCTTATCTTAAAAATATTCAGTTTCGAGAAAAACACATTTTCAGTTATGGATTGAAATTTGAATTTTCAAATTAAGGACAGTTTACTACACAAAAAGTAAGAAAACTACGCAGACAATTACTTGTAAAAAGGTAATCCGATATCAGTGTTAATGTTTGTGCAATATCAAGCAGATTTTAAAGTATTTAAGTTCTTCACAAACTCACTCAATATACCTTTTTATTGATTAATGTGAAACTACATGGTTTTAACAGATATCAACATGACAATCCGATTGAGAGATAAAGTAAGATTCATTGAAAAATATAGAAATTGCTACTCAAAGAACGGATTTTTTGTGTTATGCTACTCTTTGAGTAAATGAGCGATATACGAGTATATGTGCTTTGCTGTGTATATTCGTTTCCCAATAGTGCACAGAACTATGAAGTAGATGTTGTTTATTTCAAGTGAGGAACTAAAGAACAGAAATCTGTGATAGGATGGTCTGTATGTGTATTAATTTCGTTAAGGAAAGGACAAAATTCGGGAGGACAGATATGATGCCACCACTATGCATATTTAGAAAAGAACACGTAAAATATATACCTTTATCTTTATTAATCGAATCAACTACCTTAGAGATATTTAAATTATAAATTAAATCGAATAGAAGCAATGTACGGGAGTTATAAATGAATCGGAGTCTAAGTAAAATCTCAGTGGTAATTTTTATGCTCTATTAGACCTTTCGTGAGTTAGACTTATATATCTATATCTACAAAAGAGGAAAAAGCATGTACGTTTGATCGTATGTTTGTTTGTAATTTTTGGACTAGAAAACCGCTGAATAGATTTTCCTGAAAATTTCCAAGTATACTGAAAATAACATAGGCTATATAGATTTTTATACCCTCCACTATACTATGGAGGGTATATTAATTTTGTCATTCCGTTTGTAACTCCTCGAAATACTCATGTCAGACCCAACAAAGTATATATATTCTTGATCAGCGTAAAATTCTAAGACGATTTAGCCATGTCCGTCTGTGTGTCTGTCTGTCCGTCTGTCTGTCTGTCTGTTGTAATCACGCTATCTTTCGAACAAATTGAGATAGAAGGCTAAAATTTTGCACACATGTATATTTTGCCAGTAGGCAGGTTAAGTTCGTAAATGGGCCATGTAGGCCCAAGTTATCATATAGCTCCCATATAACGGTACCTCCCGATATTCGGAATTTTGATGATTTTAGCGACATTATTCACCGGAATTGTTTCAAATTTAGCATTTGAAGTTCGTAATGGATACTACAGCAAAAACAGAAAATGGGCCATGTAGGTCCACGTCTTCGTATAGCCCCCATATACCATACCCCCCGATATTCGGTATTTTGATGAATTTAGCTACATTATTTAACGGAATCGTTCCAAATTTGGCATTTGAAGTTCGTAATAGATGCTGCAGAATAAAACAGAAAATTGGCCATGTAGGTCCACGTCTTCGTATAGCCCCCATATACCATACCCCCCGATATTCGGTATTTTGATGATTTTAGCGACATTATTTACCGGGATTGTTTCAAATTTCGCATGTGAAGTTCGTAATGGATACTTCAACCCATGTCAGAAAATTGTCTGTGCAGGTTCACGTCTTCGTATAGCCCCCATATAACGGTACCCCCTATATTCGGTGTTTTGATGATTTTAGCTACATTATAAACAGATTTTTCATCAAGTTTCGCATTTAAATATTGTAATAACTTATGACAAAAGTTGCCTATGCAGGTCCACGTCGTCGTATAGGCATTCGGTATTTTTAAGATTTTAACAGAATTTTTAACGGATTTTATTTTATTTATTTTTTTTTATACCCTACACCACAAGGTGGTTAGGGTATTATGTCTTTGTGCATTTGTTTGTAACAGGCAGAAGGAAACGAGATAGACCCATAGTTCCTTTTGATGATCTGCATAGAATCACATTCTGAGTCGATTTATGCATGTCCGTCCGTCCGTCTGTCCGTCCGTCCGTCTGTCCATGTATTTTTGTAAACAAATTACTGGTCGCATTTATTGCCCGATCCAGATGAAATTTTGCAAAGATCTTTTGTTTGGCCCAAGGACGAACCCTATTGAAATTGGAGATAATCGGTCAAAATTTAGATATAGCTCCCATATATATCTTCGTCCGATTTGCCTTTTATTGTGCACCAAACGTGTAATATCAGCCCGAATTGTATGGAATTTTGCATATACACCCAAATTAGGCCTGAAAATATGTATGCCAAATTTGATCGAAATCGGTTCAGATATAGCTATAGCTCCCATATATATTATTCATCCGGTTTGTTATATTTGTTACCCACAACCGTAATATGCACTCCGTAACAACGATATTCAGGGAAATATATCAAATACAGCTCAGAAATATCTTTGCCAAATTTTATCGAGATCGGTTCAGATTTGGATATAGCTCCCATATATATCTTTATCCGATTTCAAATTAATTGTGCACCAAATGGGCAATACAATTCCGAATTTAAAAGATACAAATGCTTCGGCATATTTAGTCCTTTGAACTTTAAATTATAATTATAATCATAGCGTGTATGATTGAATTCTCCCATAAAAACTTTTAATTGTTATGTGGAGCTCTACTTAATTAGCAAAGTGGTGTAGGATAAAGTCGGCCCCGCCAGACTTGAAGACTTTCTTTACTGGTTTTTTTTTTGGAAATTGTCAAATTTGTACCTAATGGTGGAGGGTATTAAAAGTTCGGCCCGGCCGAACTTACAGCTTTTTTACTTGTTAAAATTACACTTGGAACTGGAGATATGGCATTAGAATCAGAGGTACCTCCCATAAATTTAGATTTCATATGCACATATCCATTGCTAGATTACAGATACAGTCTCCATATTTGGAATGCATAATGGAAAAAAATAAATTTCCAAATTGTATTGAAATTGGTTCAGATTTGGATATAGCTCCCATATATATTTTCGGCCGATTTCATGTATTTGATGCATTAAACACGCTGTGTTTGTACATTTCAATGAATTCCGGAATGTATGATGGAATTTGTCTAAAAAATTTGCCAAATTATATTGAAATCAGTTCAGATTTGGATATGGTTGCCATATACATATTCGACCAACTTCATGCATTTGATGCACCAAACACGCAATGTATCTCTAATTTCAATGAAATTTGGAATGTGTAACGGAATTTAAAACAAAATAAATTTGCCAAATTATATTGAAATTGGTTCAGATTTGCATATCGTAGACCTTTCAAACATTTGCATATTGCCTTAGCGGTTTAAATCAGTTAACATTGGTAACTATGTTGTTATGATATCATAACACCAGAGACGTTTTCACAAGGTTACCATATTTTGACTCAGTCTTGTTCTATCTTTATACTTCTATGTTCTGTCAGGGCTGTTATTCCAGATAGTATAGCCACAAACTACTTTCTCACAATGCATTTGGTCTAGTCTTTTCCATTTGAGGTCTTTGGTTCATGTTTCTATCGCGAATATAAAGAATTAGTAAAATGAAAAACAAACGCTTACATATTTTATTTCATACGTTTCATAGGACATAAATGCGATCCTTCAAAAACATATTGTTCACGCTAAATATAGAGAGACAAAAAGAAAACGCACGGATTAGAGTTACTGATTTTATAAATTGATTACTTTATGATTATAATTTGGCAATAACTCCATAAATAATGAGTTTTCGGCGTTTTTAACTATTGTTTGTGATCACATTTCTAGGCATGAATTATTTAATATTTATACCCTACGCCAAATTGTGGTATAGGGTATTATGTCTTTGTGCATTTGTTTGTAACATGCAAAGGGAAACGGAAAAGACCTATATAATTTTGATGAATATCAGTTCAGATTTTGATATAGCTCCCATACATACTTTGAACCGATTTTAATTATATTGTGCGCCACATGATTAATATTCGTCCAAATGGAATGGATTTCAGCACATCCGATCGAATACAACCCAGAAGCAAGTACTTCAAATTTGGTGAAAATCGGTTAATTATTTTAGTCCCACACAGTCATAATATGAACTCCTCTGCCAAATTTTATGAAGATAGGTTCGAATTTGGATATAACCATATATATCTTTATTTATTTTGTACCAAATAGTTAATATCAGACCAAATGCGACCGAATTTAGCCTAGAAGTAAGTTCATCGTACATATGTTTCATCCGATTTGTTTCATCCGATTTGGTGTAAAAGTCCCTCATATTCGTAATATGCACTCTAAACAATGTAAAATTTGGTACCAGATACAAGCTCAGAAAAACCTCTGCCAAATGTTATCGAGATCGGTTAAAGTCTGGATGTAGCATGTACATGTACTCTATAGCGATGGAAACCGATTCAGAGTTGGATATACCTCCAATATATTTGTTCTACGTATTGAAAACAGGTTCATGGTTGGTATTTACAAAATTTTCCAATACTTCACATAAATTCCCAAAGTAAACATTTATTTGTTACGGGTAACTCTACTAATCATACATAGTGGTGAAGGGTCCCATATGTAATATTTTTTTAAAAAAAAGTACTTATAAGTGGAAG